GCAAACATGACAGATAACAGACCAATGTCGGTACGTTTTCGATGGTACAAATAGCGGAAAGCGTAACAGAAAAACAAATACAGTAATTTTTCAGGACTTAACACGACTGTGTACACGCGTGCATTTTTTTGTCGAGTAGAAGAAAAAAACGAAACGGCGATTTATCTGCGACGTATATTGTTGGAAAAAAAAACTAACTTAAACGTAGATACGCTCACCATTTTCCGGTGACACGTCTCTTTGAAGGGCTGTGAGCTGGGCCGTCTTCCAGACGACGTTTGATGGGAGATGTTAATAGGCTTTCCGGTTGATCAATGATGTCCAACTCGATGATTTCCATGCTGAAGGACAACGAATTGTTGACCTTCCATCTCGAGATGGTGACCGTCGCCTTTACCAAAGCACCTTTCAACGCGCTCTCATACTGGTTGGGTTAGAGCAGGCGTTCATGCCTGTCATATGCAGGAAGAGGGCGCGGACGCCAGGTACCGAGTTGAGCAAGTCGGTTTCTGGCAGCTTCAGCGTCAGCGGTAACACACGGCCAATTGTTGATATCATAACCTGGACATGTTATCAGATACTGTGATACGAGAGGGATATTGTACATATTCACGTTCTCCATTATGAAGATTGTCATTTCGATCGACACGCTACAAGGAAATATGTAAATCATACGTATGTATGAGACGGAAACAATCATAACATTACCTCGAAGATTTTATGACGAATTTTGATTCGATCGTCGACATCGAGCATGTGACCGTTAACAACAGTGCATTTCTTATCTTCTTTGGAACGCCTTTCTATCGCTCGTACAGCCTCGCATGCCTTGAAGTAGAGCGAATCGAGTCCGCTGTCAGAAGGAGGGACAGCAATACTAGCCGACATGGAATGATGTTTAAAACCTTTATTGTTCGTGCCAAGTTTCATGCTCCAATTTCCACATGCTTGCAGCCAGAATGAGCGTCCGCCGATAGAGCCGACAAACCAAAAAATAGTGGCATGACTGTCACCGTCATGGACGAGGACGTCTCGGCCATCTAAGTCTTCTACCCAGCGCAGATTAGTCATGTTTGCGATATCGGGATGTCCGAGAAAATTAGGATCCCGGGTAGCATCATCGATAATGGTGGTTGCTATGTTTTCTCGTGTAGAGAGAGCGTGAGGGTTTGGTGAAGGCGTGTTTTGCGTCGGAGTGGTGTGGTTAGATGATGCGGTAGAAGAGGGTGGTGGATCAGGCATGATGAAAAAGTACATGAACGTAAACGAGTGCAGGGATGATCGGCTGCCGAGGTGGTGTTTTTATGTAATATCGGGGTTGGAGCTGTAAATTTGTTATCGACAATCGAGAGTGCAAGATGCCCGAGGTTATGATGTCAGCTTACTAGAGTGAGACCAATTGCTGCATACGTGCGCTGTACGTTCAGCCGTGATATGGAACGCTGAAAGGAAAATTGATTGGAATGCATCGGAGTTGATTAAAGAAGTAAAAGTCGGCAGAATTATATGCCAGAACTTTCACAAGATAACGTCTTCTGTGAGACCGATTGTTGTGTTAGTTGAGTCGTGGAGTGAGGTATTCGATGGGAGGCTCACGGGAAAACACCATACATAGTTAGATAAATGAAAACTTGATAAAAATTTATATTAGGAACTCTTACAAAAAATGTACCCATATGGCAATTTGTCGCTAACCAGATTACCGGTGTTATGTGGACGTTTAATATCCGCGAGAGAGTAAATCCAGAGAGAACACGAAGGTATGTTCCCAATTCCTTTCTAGATTATTTGTCATAGTGATTGTGCGCTAAATGGAAGTGGAATTCGTATGTCATCGTCAGGTGAAATAGATGTGTGGCGTACACATTGAGCGGCACCAAAAATATCTGGACGTTGTTCGTCTATGTTTTCAGAGTACTGCGATAGACCAATTGTTCTGTCGTTGAGTAAAAAAGTGGATTGATGTCAACTTCATTTGCGTTGTGTATGACTGAAACATGAATTGTTGGCTAGAAAAGTAGTTGGCTCAACTAAGGAAATGGAAATAAGAAAAGGGTATATGCGATGATGACGCTGAAGCTTACCGGCTGCAAATAGTTTACCAGACACTCGAAGTGCTGGGTCTAGTTTTTGTTTTTGCGACGGACGGTGGTATCATTATATATGAAAAGATAATGTGGGAAGTTATACAAACAGCTGCTCGACTTCATCGACAGTGCGATTGCTCACCATATGTCGTCTCCATATTCAAGCTTGACAACTAAAGAGATATGTTCTGTTCTCCACTCGGAAATAACATTTCCATATCGCATTCGATACAACAAACGACTGTTACTGGGCCAACTGGAATCGTTACCTCCACAGTTGCAGTCGTTATTGCAGGATGCAGTTGACCGTAAAATGGAAGCAAGATGACAGGCTCATCTGGATAGTGCAGGTGAATATAGAAGTCGTGAAAGAGAACGGCGAAGAAGACGTGAAAGAACAGAAGATGTAGGCGATACCAATGTGGAAGAAACAATGTTTATGTCATTGCCGACACAAGAAGAACGCAAGCAATGCCATGCTGACTTCCTGAAAGCTATGTCGAACGACGCACTGAAATCTGTCATATGCGGTGTCTGTGGCAGACGAGGCTTGCAGTCGACGCTCGACAGTTGTTCCATTTCTGTGGGTGAATTACCGAATCGTGAACGTCTCATTCCACGGACAGTAGAACAATTTCACGACATGGTGAATGGTATACTGCTCGTGCAAGAGGCAGTACACAATAAAGGGAATGGGACCATGGTGGACGTGTGTGCTGGATGCTTGACAGAGTTGAAAGATGAACGCAGAAATGGCCAACCTGCAAAATGGTCGATGGCGAACAATATGTGGCTAGGAAGCATTCCATGGCAGCTCGCGAAACTGACATTACCTGAACAACAACTCATCGCGTTGTTGTACCCTCGCGTGTTCACGGTGAAATTGTATCCGAAGAACCCATGTATACCAATCAGGAATGAGTCATTGCAGTCCGCGTTGAAGGGAAACGTCTGTACCTTCACCCTCAAGAACTCGAGAATCGTGGATATGCTCGCAGGAAATTTAATGCCACGACCACCTGCCGTGTTAGCTCACCTGATATCGATCACGTTCATTGGGAAGGGACAATTACAGAAACATCACCTTCACAATACCTATCGCATGAGGCGATCAGCAATCGTGGACGCGCTTCGCTGGTTGAAAGTTTATAATCGTTATTATCGAGATATCGAAATTGATCAGGCGCGCGTACAATCCCTTCTGGAGGACGATGTACCTGAAGAGTTGCTTACGATCATACGTCAAAATGAAGACATTAACGTGTTAGCGATGGAAAATGACAACTATGTACCTTCGTATCCGGAAAGTGAAACAAATGTTCATGCTGAACCAGACAGTGAGTTGTTTCTAGTAACGTGTACGTCAACGATCGTAGTAAATTCTCACTATTTGGACAGAAAG